ACTAGTTTCGACACATTCGTACGTCCTCAAGTGAGACTGAAGAGGACAAAACTAGTTGTGTCGAAACTAGTTTCTCTGATATCAGACTTCTTAGAGTTTGTTTCATTTATTGTGGTTTTTTCACCAATCAGTTACAAGTGTTAGTCAATAACACCTGCTTTATAAGTTTCTTGTATTTTGTATCCCCCATCTACCTTTTATTTAAAAATAACAATCTTCGTGCTATGATATTTTCTGAAACTTACATCAGAAGATTGAGTAAGCTCTTTTTCCTTATATACAAAATGTACACTAAAATAGTTCAGGATGAATAGGGTTTTCAAATCTTTTTGTTGTTTTTTTCTCTTTAAACATTCATTAAAACTATCTCCTTTCCATACGCATTTATTGTTAATACGTTGATAAAATGAAAAACTTAGAAATGATAAAATAGAAAGTTTCACCGAATATGGAGATAGCTCTTCTCAGTTTCACTACTTCAATTGTATGAAACCTGTATTTATTTATTTATTTAGCAGGTTATCTTTAATAGTCTGAAATTTATTCAGGTACTGAAATGTGAAACCCGTGCTAGTAATATATCGAATGGTTCCAGGTTAAAAAAGTATGAAATTATATTATCAGGGTTAAGTGATGTTTAGGGAGAATGTTACACTAATTTACAATTTTGAAGTTGACTTACCTTCGAAATATTATCACGTGTGTGAAAATGATGAACCTACTTCCGCAATGGAAAGATATTGAAATTGAAAGAAAATGACTGCCAGCTATATACATTTAATAAGATGAATTACAAAGCGATTCAACTTTTAAGTTTCATCTGACAGCTTTAAACCAAGGTTTTATAAACAATATCATATTACAGTTGGTAAACCATTGAGTTGCCTTAGGGCTATTATTAAACCATTGAGCTGCCTTAGGGCTATTATTAAACCATTGAGCTGCCTTAGGGCTATTATTAAACCATTGAGCTGCCTAAGGGCTATTATTAAACCATTGAGCTGCCTAAGGGCTATTATTAAACCATTGAGCTGCCTAAGGGCTATTATTTAACCATTGAGCTGCCTAAGGGCTATTATTAAACCATTGAGCTGCCTAAGGGCTATTATTAAACCATTGAGCGGCCTAAGGGCTATTATTAAACCATTGAGCTGCCTAAAGGCTATTATTAAACCATTGAGCTGCCTAAGGGCTATTATTAAACCATTGAGCTGCCTAAGGCCAACCACGTTTATTAAAACCAGATTTCTAGCGTTATAAGTCAGCAACGGGGGGGGGGAGGTAAGTATTATAGTTAGGTGGATTTCCTTTTTTTATATAATTATAGGAAAAAACAGTATTTTATATATTTGCGGCCCTCTGTTGAATTAGAATGTACCTAATTTTTAGTTAATCTATTTCTAACCCGATATAAATAACCTTGAGTATAAGAATACATTTCTATCAGTCACTAGTTTTGTATTCTATAACGATATTAGTTATATTTTTATTAACTCAACAATTAACTTAGTTCATGTTGACGTTGAGTTCGTATACTTATAAGTTATGTTTTGACTTGTAGGAAATAGTTCTGAAGCGAGCAGCCGATTTGGCAGAAGTGTTGTACGCTATGCCTCGAAACAACCAGCTTGCCCCCAGATCCTCATCATTTAACAGCTCCACCGCTATATCCAGTTTCAATGCTTACACGGGTCAGTTGGCAGTAAACGTCCAGGACAATGGACCAGGTACACGTAAATATTAAAATAAACAGGGATAAAAATAGCATGTTATTCTAACTAATTAATCACGCAGTGCTTTGAGTTACATTAAAAATATTTAGTCGTCAAAAAAACAACAAAAACAATTGTTATTAGTAGTAATAAGAATTTGTTTGTTTGTTTCTTATTAAGCACCAATCTACACAACTGATTATTTGTGTTGTGTCTACCACTAGTATCGAAATCCAGTTTTTAGCGATATGAACCCTCAGACTTACCGATGAGCCACTGGGGAAGAATGTTTGAAAGATAAATGTTACATAATGGAGTCAATGGCCTTTTATTATTATTATTACTAAGATTCCTCATACATTTGTAGTACATTTGCACATTCAAAAAGAAAGAAAAGACTAACGTTGAAATTATTCAGGTGATTGACTGAGCGTTATAAATGCAGCTATGCATCTTGGTTGGTCTGTAAGACAAAGAACTTAATAGAGTGTTCCAGACTAGGAAGAGCGTCATTACCAAAAAACTCTTTCTTTGAGATACGTTTGTCATCAAAATGTATAAACTGTCGCAATAAAAAAGGATTAGGTCATCAACAAGGAAAACTGGATCTGAAAATTGCTGACGACTGACTTAGAAAAAAAGAAGTTTGTACAGTCTTGTAAAGTAAAACAGACGTCAAACTGTGCCCCAACTGACTGATTCCTTCACCAGTGGTCAAAATTGAACTCCAAACTAGCCTTGCGAAGAACGTTACAAAAAATTCCGACAAATAGTCCAGAAATGGTTTATATTAGATGAAAATATTATATTAGAGCAAAAAAGTATAGATAAAGAATTACTGGAAGCGTGGGATGGAATCTGGTAAGTTATATTTACCCTACACTGTGGGTCTGGTAAGTTATATTTACCCTCCACCGTGGGTCCGGTAAGTCATACTTACCCTCCACCGTGGGCCCAGTAAGTCATACTTACCCTCCACCGTGGGTCTGGTAAGTTATATTTACCCTCCACCGTGGGTCTGGTAAGTTATATTTACCCTCCACCGTGATCCAAAGGGGTTACCCAGCCAGATATTAAAGTGGGGTCACCAATTCATTAATAAAGTGGCCAGTCATTGTAAAATATATTATGAGAATAAAAGAAACACTCGCTATTTTTTTAAATTCAAAATAATAATAATAATAACCACCGTTTTTGAAAACAGTTAAAAAATAATATCTAATTCTGTTTTGTTTTTGTCAGACTTCGGACGAGTCCAAACCAATGTTCTCTCCCCTAGAGCTTACGGAGCTCACAATAACAACGGAAGTTCTTATGGCCCAAGTACAGTGAATGGAAGTTACGGAACTACAGGACATCTTGGAAATATGGCCGTGGCAACTTCGCCTTGTCTACTCAATGGAACTTCAAGTAAGGCTGTTTATCAACATGATCATATACCCGTGAAATTCCCAGTATAAAGTTGTTTATTGGGCACACTGACTTTTAAGAAACAAGAATATTTATTTGACATATTTTTTCCTTCTTTAAAATTTCCATTCCATGTAAGAAAGTTTTGATTGTTTTGTTGAGTTTACATCCTTAAGAAATATTAGAAATGTTAATACACTTTTTATTAATGTTTTAATGTAGATGGTTGCTTTCATTCTGTAAACTTACTGACCTTTACCATGTTACAGGAGTTGCAAATATAACGCCATTTGCAACAATGAACCCGTTTGCTCTCCCAGCCTGCAATGGACAGTCCTACGGAGGGTCACTAATTTCTTCTACCAAATGACTCACGTGGCCTTGACGTAAACCATTCTAATGCGTGGACTTTAATGCGCCAATAAACACTGATAGAAGAAATCTTCAGTTACACAACAGTATACTATTGATCCGCTTTCTATTCATAATTTTAACCCTATAATACACACTGAAATGTGAAAACGTTTCGTGTATGAAAACTATATTTTGGATAATTGCTTCTAATACCTCTGTTAGTTACGAACCAAACACCATTTAGTGTTTGACGTTAAAAAATGACATTTCTATCATTTTTGGTTTATTAACATGGACTATATCAAATGTAGAGTTTGGAAAATATCTACAAGAGACGTGTGAATTAAGAAATTATTGTATTTACACTAAAGATGAACAAGAGAGAGGTCTTGTACATCTCTATTTAATAAGGTTTGTTTCACATTTTTGTTTATATTGTCCTATTTTAAGCTTTACGATGTACTGAGAAGAATCATTATTAGTCTAAAATCACAAAATTAGGCATTACTCTCGACACCTAAGACGATGAAGTTGGTCAAATATTTATTAATACACGAAATAATAGCTCGAGAACATTAAATACAGAAAACACCGCATTTTGTTAAAAAGCACAAGTCCCAAACTGAAAATATGTTTGGTAAAAAGAATGTGAAAACTGAAGCACGTGTCCGACGTAAGAAACCGAGGATAATAAATCCAAAACCCTGTCTGGATTTGGTGGTGAAGAATGTAAAAATAGAGGACTTCCCTTATGTTTGCAGCCACGAGTGTAAAAATGAAGATTGTACCTGTTGCTGAAACTAGCATAAACTGATGTTGATGCCTATAACCCTTGATGACAAACTGGAGACAGTACCTGCAAGAAACCAAGGATGTTGAATTGATGATCACGTTTAGGGTTCGTATCTATGGATTAAAAGCTAAAGATGGAGACTGCTTCTGAGAGTAGTAACCAGAGGCATTAAACTGGAAAATTTGCTTGACGTCGTCAGATATGATAGACAAACTGGAGACAGCACCTGCAGGAAACCAAGGATGTTGAATTGATGATCACGTTTAGGGCTCGTATATATGGATTAAAAGCTAAAGATGGAGACTGCTTCTGAGAGTAGTAACCAGGGGTATTAAACTGGACGTCGTCAGCTATGATAGACAAACTGGAGAATGCGTCTAACATAAGTAGCTAAGGACTGCAATCCGATGTTCATGTCTGAGGCTATGTAACCCAGGATAGAGATGTAGATATCATTTGAGAATGATAACTAAAGCTAATAATTTAAAGAATGTGTCTGATTTTGGCAGATAAGGAAATCAAACTGAGATTTTTCAAGAAGGACAAGAAATGCATTTACTATTGTTAACCAATAATGTTGAGATGTATGTTACATCTGTCGTTATTAATCCAAGATTGCGAGATGGTGATCATGATAAAAAAACAACAAAAAAACGAAGTGTCATAATCAAAGCCATATTAAAAACTAATGGTAGACTGTAAATCACATATCTTATGTAGGCAATGAAGATGGATTAACATTATTGATTGTTACAATGAAAAAAGGCTCAGTCTTAGTAACAGAGGACTCAAGATGGATTATCATTCTTGATTGTTACAATGAAAAAAGGCTCAGTCTTAGTAACAGAGGACTCAAGATGGATTATCATTCTTGATTGTTACAATGAAAAAAGGCTCAGTCTTAGTAACAGATGACTCAAGATGGATTATCATTCTTGATTGTTACAATGAAAAAAGGCTCAGTCTTAGTAACAGAGGGCTCAAGATGGATTATCATTTTTGATTGTTACAAGGAAAAAGTATCAGTGTTAGTAATAGAGGACGAAACATTAAAATTGTCAAGTGAAGACAATGCCTGATTTTTGTTGCTGATGTCCAACCAACTATTTTATCATTTTTTTCTTATCTTTGAACTGCCACAATACCTTACAAAAAGAAACCAAAAACCTCTGAACACCTTCCACGATGTACCGTAAAGAGATCTGGCTTGTATAGTATCCATATTCAATGTTTTCTCTGAATGGTTGTGTTGACCACTTCGCGAACATCCAAGACTCGAATGCCTTTTTTCATTATGCAAGGTCGATTGTAGGAATCTTTTTTTTTTCAGTTTTGTAAATAGGACATGTGTACACACGTAAATTATTGTTGTAATTTTTCATATTTCTTATTATATATGTAGTCCTTTAAAACGGGTGAAAGAAATATGCAATTCACGAATTTGGAATGTAACACAAGTGGTTAGATAAGTTATTCACTGACCCTATGACAGAAAGACCCTTTCAAAAAGTCAAAATTAAACAGCTGAAAAGATGTATAGAATGTTTTTTTTGTTTTCAACACAAACTTCTCCATTAAGTAGATATTAGGAATACTAATTTAGACAAATACATTTTGTTGATATTCAAGGCTTTTCATTGACTTGTGGTAACAGAAAGAATGAGAAACGTTAGCAATGAAGTTTATCAATGATGGATTTCGTTTGAGATCCAAACACATCCTTGAATCGTTTGAGTAATAACGAAACACGAGAAGTTGATACTTTCTGTTTTCCTGACTGAGAAGCATATGTAAACGTATTTTGAGTATTATTCTATAATATTAAACTTCATTTATTTTTAAAAACTTTACCTGTAAAATACTTCTTAAAATAATTTTAGTTTCATTTCTATAATCGTTCTCAGTATGTTTGGAAGATTTTGACTTTTATTTCTTTTCTTTGCAAATGTACAATTAAATCCATTAAATATATCAGTCTATTGAAAAATCGGCCTCAGTGTCCTACCACTTTATTATTTAAGGTTTACGTCACAACATTGAATATTTTATAACTGCACCTTTAGCCATTGCATCATAGAAACATCCTTCAGCTAATGATGGTTTCTGTTGATGGATGTTTCAAATCTACTTCAGTGCTAAGCTAATGGTGGTTTCTGTTGGTAGATGTTTAGAACCCTCTTCAGTGCCAAGCTAGTGGTGGTTTCTGTTGGTGGATGTTTAGAACCCCCTTCAGTGCCAAGCTAGTGGTGGTTTCTGTTGGTGGATGCTTAAAACCACCTTCAGTGCCAAGCTAGTAGTGGTTTCTGTTGGTGGATGTTTAGAACCACCTTCAGTGCCAAGCTAGTAGTGGTTTCTGTTGGTGGATGTTTAGAACCACCTTCAGTGCCAAGCTAGTAGTGGTTTCTGTTGGTGGATGTTTCAAATCTACTTCAGTGCCAAGCTAGTGGTGGTTTCTGTTGGTGGATGTTTAGAACCACCTTCAGTGCCAAGCTAGTGGTGGTTTCTGTTGGTGGATGTTTACAACCACCTTCAGTGCCAAGCTAGTAGTGGTTTCTATTTTTGGTTGTTTCAAATCTCCTTCATCGCTAAGCTAGTGGTGTTTTCTCTTGGCAGATACAACTTTCTTCAGTGCCAAGCTAGTTGGTACTTTCTGTTGATGTATGTTTCAAATCTCATTATGGTTGAATTTTTAATGAGGATTGACTCAAAAGGCTAATTGATTAATTGAATACATTAAACTGTTTTAGAGACAAATAATGTTTCTCTTCCAAAAACTTTGATTGATGTGAAACAGAAAAATTATGTTGTTGTTCATAATATCAATGAAGTGAAGACGTTATTGTAAGAGATATATCAAGTAAATTACCACAACCAGCTGAGAAATTGAACATCGTTTGTGGAATAAGGAGATAAAGTATTGTATTATGTACAACTACGGATTGTTTATTTGAATTTCAAATCAGCTTTTTTCTTAAAAAAATTATGTAAATTTTGAAAGTTTTCTGAAATATTATATTTGAAGCATACATTTAGTCTAAGGATAATTAGTAGTGGGTTGAGTTCTGGAATAATCGATTTAAAAAAGCTTTTTTATCCGGTTATTTGTGATATACTTAAATCAGTAACGGGTTTGATTATGTACTGTCTTGTTTATATGTGCAATAAATGTTTTTTCTTTTATTGTTTTTTGGCTCAGTGGCGTTAAAGCAATTATGTGACATAAAGAAGATAACTGACATTAAGCCTACTTTTTCCTGCTTATCCATGTCACAGATTATTTCTTCGGAAAATTGTCCCTACCTTAAATAATACATTGGCGTTTTAAAAATACAGATCTTGTTCTTAAATGTCTTTTAAACACGTATATCCACGAAAGTAAGCTCAATGTCTAATCAGACTCTTTAATGCTAAAGCATTACGGAATTAGCACGGTCCAACATAATAAGGTGAAAAGCTGGACTGTATACCTAGCATCACACTGTCTGCAATATTAATTAGTTCTACTAATCGTAGCAAATATATCCAGTAATAAAAACCTGAAAGTTTGAGAAATAATTCTGTGTGAATCTTTGAAAATACATGACTTTTAAGATCTTTCCTCTCCTGGATACACAGTATAAACTTACACTAGGATATACAAATAAATGTTACTGAATTCTTCCACAGTAACCATACTTTTCATAGCAAACTGTCGATAAATAACAGTGATATCTATAAACTTTAAAAGTTGAACAAATCTTTGCTCTTAGTCATTGTCTTATGCTAACCGTGACACGACTCTACATTTAAGGTCCAAGTAGTCACCTAAAAAACATATTATCTTTGTATTTTCCATATGCAAATAAACGGAGAGGTTTGTAAATGTGTGTCGTTATAGAGTGTATAGTTATTGTAGCATTTTATGTAACGTGAAGACTTTTAGTCAAGTCATTAAATGTTAAGATATAGCATGGCTTAGCCAAACTAATTGATCGGTGTGTATAGGCTTGTACAAATAGTAAATAAATGAGTCATCTACACAATGTGAATAGTTCGGGGAATTTACAGCCTCGTAATAACGTTTAGTAAATCCAGTATCTAACTATTTAACTGCATATGTTAAGCAGTGACACAAACATCTTGTGATGATTAAGGCAGATCCAAGAATAGACTTCTTCAACACAAGAGTGCGCACATTCTTTGAGATAAAAAAAAACAGGCTCTTATAAAACTGGGCTATTTAAGTGGGAATTCATTGGGTTCCTCAAAGTTTTTATCTGCTATTGTTCAACAAGGCATTAGCATCATATAAAGTCAAGAAACTCGCAACCAATACACACACACACTGAGAATAAAAAGGAAGGAGTTTATATTTTGAGGAGGAGCAGAAGAGTTAAATTTTGTTGGTTTATAATATTCTATAGTTACAATTATTTCCTAACAATCAAAGTTTATTAACGCCATTTGAGTTAAACCTTTGAGACAGTATTAGTGTGAGCTAGACATCTGTGAAAGACAATCGTTGATGATGTTTTGATTTGCGCATAAAGAAAGATCGTTTTGAATTTGTACTCTAAAATCACAACATTTTATGTATAAAGTTCCAAACCGGCAAGAAACAAGTTCTAGACAAAGATCTGTGAAAATATCAACAGAAAGGTAAAAATAGTAACAGTTAAACATAACTATTTACATAGATCCTTGAAAATTTAATGAAACAAATCAACTTATGAAGCTAAACATGAAATTATTGTATATTGTTTAGGGATATAAATAAGGATCCTATTCAGGATAATAATTGTAAAAGTATGTTATGCAAATTAAATATAGGAGAAAACTATACTACAATATGTTAAATGTGTAATAAATCAGAAAAAAAAAACAACAATAGACCGTAGAATAATAATGCAGCTGTCTCGTTGAATATTTATAAACGAAACACTGGATATGAGAAGATCCATTGAGGACAGATAATTGTAAAAATATGAAAGTAAATTATTAGCTATGTTATAACATATGCCTCTTTCAAATATTGTATAAATTAAGATAGTATTTATGATAACAACTGACATACGTAATATGCTATGCTGTAATAGTTGTTTCGTTTGAACAATGGATTTACTTGTAACTTTTTAGGACATATAATTACTATAAAGTTGATGACACATTGATTTACATTACTTTCTAACGGTGTGCTGGTGAACTATCTGTGCATTTATCATACTAGTATGCCCTTTAGTGCCACTTCATGGAACTATGACTCTTAGTAACACGCTATCTGTTGAGTAATACTCGAACTATGATATTACTAGCCATCTCCCAGCAACGTGCTCTCTGGCATCAGACAACTTTCGTCGTCAAATGCACCTAGCAACACGTCCTCTGGTTCCACTTCACGGAACTATGACGTCATAGTCTCTACCCCTCCCCTCCCCTGAGGGAGTCAATCAGTGCACACTGTCTGAACAGCCAGGATAACTACTTTGTTTACTTATACCAACATTTCACATTTTGTTTTTGTTTTTATTTAAGCATGAAGCCAAACATTTTGATAATAAATCATAGGTCTTACCATACCAACATTCTACATTTTACTGTCTTTTGTTTTAGTTTGGGTTTAAGCATAAATCCAAACATTTCGATAGAAAATAGTAAGATTTACTATATCAAAATTCCACTTATTACTGGCTGTTTTGTTTATTTGTGTTCAAGCATAAAGGTGAATAACTGTCTTTATATACTGTATCAAATCACGATTTTAGCATTACAAGGCCTCAAACTTAGCGCTGAGACACAACAGGGCCATTTTAATGTAAGAATGGACTGTACGACTTTCTTTAAAAACAAATTCTTCTTTTCTCTGCTTGTAATCCATATCAATCATTGTTCTATGTTTTTTTAATAATAAAGATATTGCTCCAAAACTGGAGTATAAATTACGTTGTCTTCTTTTAGTAAGTGTAAACATTTTAAAAAGTAATGTGCAACATTTTTTTTATCGGAAATAAACTGAAAACAGCAAAAAATGTTCCAATTGTTTTAGTACAGTCTCTGCTTTTGAAAGTGAATGAATATACAAGAGGGAAGTATTGGCTGACATTATTCACAATATATATTGTGAAAACCAATGACTTAGCATATACAACAGGGAAGTATTGGCTGATATTATTCACAATATATATTGTGAAAACCAATGACTTAGCATATACAACAGGGAAGTATTGGCTGACATTATTCACAATATACATTTTGT